TGATTCTCCAATTGTCTCAGTTGTGGCTAGGATCTATGACTCGAGGCCTGGAAATCTCCTTATGGTCATGGAGTCACCTATGAGAAAGCATGAGGATGGCTCATCCAGGGGAGATCTTTATACTGTCCCATGGAATGTTGAAGCCTTTGAGGATTCCAGATCTGATAGATTTTGGCTTCAAATCGAGGCAACTGACATTGTTGGCCGATCAACTGTGACTGATCTAAGGCCATTTTCTGTAAATGGTCTTTGCACTAAACTCTCATGGACATGGAAAGAGTTTCTAGTCATGGGTTGCCAATGGGATGCTTTATACTACCCAATACTCTGGTCTTTTTATTTGGTTACGGTCTCCATTCTTCTGATTCCAATAGCTATTCACACTTTTTCCAAGAAACAGTATGCTTATAAGAATTTTTATGCCCACCAAGGGTTCATAAACAGTGTTGAATGGGTTATAACAGAGCTGTATAGAATTCCTCTGCTATGGTGCTATATGTTAGGTTACTTGTTTTACCTTATTTTATGTCCTTGGCTTTTTGGCCAAGTTTTCACTGGTGACGGAGAAAGGGGATACATGACCTATAAAGGCTGGGTGGTGAAATTCAATAAGATGGAAAAATTAGAATATCTTGGATTTCCAGATATAATGGTGGTTGTTCTTCCCCATCTCTTTTTTGTTGTTTTGCCTGCTATCTTAGTAAGCGGGGCATTGGTTGCTGAAAGAGGGATCTATCGGGATTGTATTCTTTCACAATCAGGGAAGAAGAAGGACGATTATGGTGTAGAAATGAAGGGATCTGCATTGTCTGATCACAGCAGACATAGAAGATTACTATTTCAAATTGGCAAGCGATGGATCAGGAATATTTTCGTGGTGGTTTCTTTGGCAATTTGTTGGAAGCATTTTAAGGTAAGTTTTCAAGTGCTCATTCATTTTCATAACTTATCTTCGCGTGCTCTCCTACCAAACTGCATTTAACCACTTATTTGCTCCCTACCTTTCACACTTCAACAAAAAAAAAAAAAAAAAGGAGGTAAACATATTGTGGAAAATATCTACCTACCTAGATTGTGAGGGCGTCCATCAACAAATTCAACCAGGTGAATATCTAAAATAACCATTTACTTTATGAATGAGTGCGGCACTCCTTGGTGCATGAAGGTTGAAGCTTGTCCATGGGATTTACTGATTTGTAGTCATAGTCATGCATTTCCTCAGTTTGTATTTGTTCGGATGCGTGATCGCAATAATCTTTTTTTTTTTTTTTTTATGGGGAGGGGGAGGGGAGAAAGGAACTTGAACTCTTGACCTCAAGAAGATAAAGTTTTTACAAGGTAAAGAGTACCATTGGACCAAAGACCCATTGGTACGTGATTGTAATAATCATCTAATGGTATAACTAGCTAATACGGCCTTACCATTCAAGTGACAGCAACTGACCCCAGCTCAACTAACCCGTCCGCTGCAGTGTCACAACATTGTATAATCCTCTATACAATGCTACATATATTTGAGGTAGACCATATCGCTGCTTAGCACCATTATTATGCTTGTCAGACAAGTACATAAGTAGCATTTGTGAGCTGCGAAATGAAGGAAAATAGCTGAACGTCTGGAACCTTGCAACCACTACTAAATGTGAAATTGGACGCTTTGGTTTTTTATATATTTTTTAGCTGATCTGCTTTTGTTGCATTTTCTGTTGTCTTCAATCAATGCAGAACTGCTGGGCTCTTATGAAAGCATACGAGATGAATCCACTACATTTTCCGTTGTATAGCATATCAATTCCGGTGCTATTGGCTTATGCTGTCTACAAAACCAATAGGGTCTGAGGAGTACTGCAAATAGGAATCTTTACTTCTCCATGAAATCATTGCGCACTTGTGTGAAAGCAGGTTACCAAACTGTAAGTGAAATGTCTGAAAAGCAAAAGAATACACTTCTTAGTGTGGTTGGCACAATCTTTGCTTCAAGTCACAAGAACCACAAATTATTGATACTCAAACTTCATTTACCTTTTTGTCTTAAACCAGAAGCTATCAGCTTGAGTGGCATCTCCAGCATCTACCTAATGTAGTGGTTTAGGGTTCAAGCCCCAATTGGGCATGGGCGTGTGACAGTTCCACAAAAGGAGAGGATGCAAAAGAAGATACCTTGATTGTTCCGTAAAATGAAGTTACTGTAAATGAAATGATCATGGAAGAATGAAGATTGTTCTTGATCCTTGCTGTTTTTGAGCAGATGAACTAGGGTCACACGCATTATAACAATCATTAAAAAAAAAAAAACTACATACTGACTATACTAATAAACTAAGAAAACACTACACAGACAAGTTGAAGAAGGCTTTGGATTCCGAGGAGCTAAAAGAGCAGGGGCTTTAATTGCCCTGGTAGCTGGCAGAGCCTTATAGACTTCCACATGTTGTTATCTTTCCTACTAATATTGGTCTGCTGCAATTTCTTAACTTTACGGATTGAAAATTTATGTTTCATGACCAGGGTAGGCAGCTAATTCCTTGAAATAGTATTGCATTTCAGGACATTTTCGAGTTAAGGCTAAGCTTTATATGCATTGAGAGTGCATATGGATCAACCTCGATACGTAGAAGTTAGATATACAAATGACCTTGAGGGGGTGAATAGATCTTAGCACTCAATGCGGAAATTTACACCAATTTAAAATTTAATTCAACCAATTGATTAATGATTTCAATTAATGCACGAATCCCCCAACTGCAACAAACCCACACATCCAATTCAATTCCAAACTTCTAGGGCAACAACTACAAGTTGGATTTCATACTAGCAATTTATCAAACATGTGCATGAAGTTGCAGGAATGTAAAAATATGCAAGCACAATCACAACTACACAAATTTTTATATGCAAACTCATCTGAAAAAAACCTTGTGGCCATAATCCACTTAATCTAATCCATTTGTCTCAAAGTAAGATTACAAGGATGGAAGTTTTATACTTCAACCCATACTATTGTTACAAGGATGGAAGTTTTATACTTCAACCCATACTATTGTTAGATGTTTTATTACAACTTGAATCTTTGCTTTGGAGTGCATCCAAGTTCATCACACCTAGTCATATAAGAGATATAATTCATTATCTTCAATAAAAAGTTTACATATACCATGAGCAAACATTTCACAAATTTTAACACACAGAAAACTTCAAGAAAACATTCATGGTGTTGTCAAGAAACATTATCAATGACAGTATTCAAGATATAGGTTTATGAATAAAAAACGTACAATTTGGATGTAATATCAGGTAATTTTTTCAAGAAAATACAACATGCATTTGAATAGAATTCAAAGCGTTATAGATCTATTATATATGAATTAGAATCAAAAAGCACATAATATTAGCCCTAACTTCAATGATTCCCCTACCTTTTTTTCAAAGAAAATTACTTCTATCGTATTTTATGTGATTGTCTAAGCGTTGATCCCCTCAATATCTAGCCTATTCTAATATTCTTCCTTCTCTTCTTCTCTCCAAAACTCCCCTAGACACCTTAGGGTTGAAAAGCATGTCAAGAAATCCTAAATGCGTCCCTAGAGTATTTGTAGGTCAAAAACTTAGAGCTTTTTGAGTAAACCAATGAATAACGTTCTCCATGTGCTCTCGGGACTTAGGAAATCAAGTAAAGGCTAGAATTTCAATTCCAGTAGCTAGCGCTCTCCAACACTCAAGCATTGCCCGAGTTGGCTTTAGGTTTGGCTTTCCAATGGATAGCAATCTCCACAGGGCTCGAGCATTGCGACACTAACGAGTTTCCCAACTCAATTAAACACCTCTTGTTTCTTATTCCTATATAATGAGGATGACTCATATGACCTAATAATGAGACAAGAAATTATTAGAGAGACTCTAGGATTTAGAGAGGCTTCTCTTTCAAGAGAGAACACTCCCCTTGAGAATATCAAAACTCAATTCCTTGAAGATCACCAAAAATTCTGCTGAAGAATTTATGCTACTATTGTTGAGGATCTTGAACACCAATCAAACTCACAATACAAAGAATTCAAGGAGGAGACTTGAGGATTAATGGGAGGATTCCTAGAAGAATGAGGATTTTTGGGACGGATAGTGGACCTTAGTTCGTTGTCTTTGAAGCTAATTGTCAAGATGATATGATGGATTTCTAGAGTGAAGATTCAAGGGAAAAAACTTCTAACCGTGAAATTGGTTGAGTTATAACACTTCAAACTTGTAATCTAGGTTTGAAACTAGTGGATTAGGTTAGGTGGCGTAAGATTGGCCCCGTGGTTTTTCCTGAGAAGGTTTACACATAAAAATTGCTCGTGTTTATGTGATTTCTTGCTTTTACATATCTGCAATTTTGTATTCCTTCTTTTATGCCTGATTGGATGAATGCTTGAATCCCATTTTTGTTGACTGGGCGATTGAATTTGCATAAATGTCAAATGATTGGTGAATTTTGTTTGACCAGCTTTCTTCAAAATTGACAAGCACATTCACTCAATTAAGTCAAAGGTCTATATCACTTAGGGTTTTTATTTGTAATTGTGTGGTTGCTGTTTTATTTGGGCATAATTCCGCATTCGAATTCATAAGCCCTATCCCTCCCTAGGTCAGATCGCATTGCCTTAATGATCAAGGTTGATCTGCTTTTCACACTCCCATCCTCCCTTGCAATTGGTGACTCTGACTCATCTTTGTTCTCGTATATACAGCTTATGGCAATGCCATTAAACATCTTGGGCTGAAGAAGATTCATCTCATAGGTGAGTAGAGACCCAACTAGGTCTTCTACTTTGAGTTCCTCTACATTATGACTATGACATTTGCTCGGAAACGCTCCAGTTGAGATCTCAAAATCTAACAAATCAAGGCTGCATTATTGTATTTCTTACCTAGGGTAAAAGAAGAATTTACCATGTCACTAAATCATGCATAAAACTTGGTCATTGTCTCGCTATCCTCCATCCTAAGGCCCTAAAATTGAGATGTCAACGTTTGAAGCTTGGAGTGCTAGCTTGTGTACGTATAGGTTGTGGTGGACTCCTCGATGGCCCAGCCTCAGAGACAAGAGGTGGTGTCTTAGACTCCATTTCCTCTTCCTCGGCCTTTACCTCCATTGGAGTAAACATGTAACTTGTGCGAGTCTCACTCTATTGCATAAACTCTTTCCCAAGAGGCTTATTCGGTCTTTTTTTTTGGATTTGTATCCAAAGCAATCACATCCTACCTTTTCTATACAAATCCGAGTGATCAATGAACCAAAGGGTAAACCATTAGTGATCCTACCTTTATCAAATGCCCTCTGAATAACCCCAAAAATCAGTGATGCTAAGTCAATGTCTACACTTGTTCCCATAACATGTAGATAAGATTTAGAAGTAGGGTAAATGGAGATATAGGTCCTCAGGTTGATGTTGTAATGGATAATCAAATTCATCATTCGGTACTCCTTGGTCAAGTCCTTGAACTCATTTAGCTTGGTTCCAATCATCGGGGTATGGAGCTCCATATACCTCGGATGCAACATCGCAAAGCCTAGATACCTCCTCATCGGGTGTATGTCTATATGCATCATGAAGTACTCAGGGTAGGTGTAGAGGTGCCAATCAAGTCAGCAGAGAACTCAAACAACACACCTTGGACATAATTGGTAAAATGCCCACTATCAACCGTAATATTCCTAATGTGTGCATAAAATTCTATAACAATGGTCTCATTTGCTGGATCACGTACCATGAATAGCTGACTCCACCATCTATATTCAAAATTCATAGGAATAGAAGTATTACTTATCCTAGTGAAATTTACTCCGCGTTCCACAATTCCTGGTGCTTGACTCCGAAAGGTGCACCCAAGTGCAGGTGGTATAGTGTAGTAACGACTTGGAGAAGCTTGAGGTCAATATATAAGGATTGAAATGATCATAAAAAGGTAAAAAGAAAGAACAATTTGTAGGTGGTTTGATTTGAGAAAATGCTAAAATAGTAGGAAATTAAGCATAAAGAAAGAGCTACTTTCTAATTTCAGGATCAGGTATTGTTCACATACACCAAATATTATATCTATTCAATTGTATTTTATCTTAATTGATGTCTATTATTAGTGTAATCAACTAGAAAATATAACTTTAAGAACCAAAAGTTGATTAATATGAAAATATGAATTTAAGAACTAATATTATAAACTCGTAAGGAATTACAAAAATCACCCATATCTAGAAACCAAACTAGTTAATGGGTAATCAAATAAGTATACAGAGTACAATACTTTAGTTACAAATCATTTATTCAATTGATAACGAGAAAGAGAAAATCATTTAGGAATTATAAAGAATGATTGCATGAATATAACATTCAATGTATAATCCAAAAAATCATACCCTAACTAAAGAGTAGAAGCAGAACTACTCAAAAGCCGTGGGTATTCTCTTAGAACTTGTAAAATAAGACAAAGGATCTGGATCCCCCTAAAGGTATCCTTTTCTCTATTTATAGCCAGAGACTTTACAATGAATTCCCGGATTTATTTATAATTGGAAACCTACTAGGGCAGAATTATCGTGCAGACGGATTAGACGCGTTCGGATGGAAGTAGGGTAGTCATTCCTCTTTGACTTGGTCAACACATGTCCGGACTAAGAAATTGCGTCCTCACAGTAACACACCGAATCGTCAATGGGTCGTTCGTACGCATTCCCATGTTTAAACAGTACAAAAAATCTGGAATTCACATCTTCACAGTTGAGTCCGGACGGGCTTCTTGTCTCTGGATAAAAGTAGTTCGTATTGTCAGATCCCAAAGTGTCTTCAATTCTAACGCAGATTAATGATTGCATCTGAACGAAAATGTTGCATCCGGATGCATCTATTTATCCAGGCTTCGTACGGATGGCCAACTTCCTCCAACGTTGACCTTTTGACTTCTAATGACACTTTGATCCCTTAACTTCATTGTAATCTCCAATTGACTAGTTTATTTGCCAAGTACTCTAAAATAATATAATTCACCATGCATAACAGGTAAAGAGACGCTACTTTTGATGATGAATCGCACCCCCAACATACATCTTGCTAGTCCCTATTAAAGTCAAAAATCCTAAAATATAATTAACTATTTTAATAAAATAAATTCACTTTTATAGGACTCATGATTGCATTTAACATATGCAATAAACTTTTAAACTCTTAAATTTCCTGTAATTGACGAATTTAGTCTCATGAAGCTTTTTAGCGAGAATACCTACAAACTTACCTTAATTCACCCAAAACTTTGAGCTTATTATATGACTTAATCACAATCAAACAAGTAAGCCAAATAAAAACATGAACAAATGCATACCAAGTTAAATTATAAAATTAAAGGCTACACAATAATATTCAAAGATCGAATTTCCATTGAAACTAGTGTGTAGTGCGTAAATAACCTTGCATGATTAGACAGTAAGCAAAAATACCTCGCCTCTCTACTATCCACTACTAGCTTTAAATCAATGCTTTCCCAAGTTTTACTCTCAACAATGAATTCACTCAGATTATATTGGCTATTTTCCCTCTTCAGTTTATACGTGAGTAAAGTTATTATAAATTCAAAACAAAATGCATCTCACATACACTATATCAAAGAATGGGAATTAGCATAGTCTTGTGATAAAAAATCAACACATGACATGATATGCAAAACAACCAATATCTTCCTTATTCACACAAGTACCATATCCACCAACAACTCTCAAGATCAAATAAGTCTTTTTCAAAGGTTGAAAGGTGGCTTTGGGTAATGGGGTTTTGAACAAAAAGAGAATAGGAATTCAAAACGTTAACTTGGGAGAATTTTACATACCAATATTTCTCGACTTATACTTTTCTCATCAATCCTTATAAGCATGACATGCAACACTTGTTCATATATTTTTTCACTGTTCTCCTTGCTTTCTTTTCATGTTCATTCTTTTTTTTTTTTCAACAAGTCAAACCAATTCCAATTTCATAAATGCATAGAAATTCACCTTTTCTTTTCAACATGTCTCAACCACATATCCTTGTATACATAAACTATATCAACTCAATCTTAGGATAACCAAGGATAAATGATATCATATTACATTCTAAGCTTTGTTATTATATGTGGTTTAACAATCAAGTATTTCTCAAGAGGCTCAATCACAGTTTCTAAGGATAATAAAATTTCAAGAAACAAGGCTAAGGTTCAAATTATGACAAACAACAAAGAATACTGCTGAATTAAATTTTCTTTATTAAGTAAATATAAATGTAAATGTGACTCGAAGAATGAATGACTCTAAACTCACAAAGGACATTATATTATTCTCCATTATATGTATCAAGTTTCAAGGTACAAATACCTTTTCCTAATCTCTAGTTCAAGCATGGTCATACATACACTGATATCTTAATTTTCAATTGAAAATGTCATATATAATACGAAAGTGTAGTCTAAAATTGTATAACATACTCGAGCATAGATAAGTTCAAGTTTCCATTGTGTACTATGTATCCAATCATCAATCTCATCATAAGTACGTCACTCATAGTAATTAGAAAATTAATACGACTTTTGCAATGAAACCATGAAATATATCATTCAAACTGGATTTCCATTACATAATCTAATTAAAACGAAAAATATGCAAACTAAGTCAAGCCTTAAGTCTATTAACTAGGACCAAGGCTTTGAGTATTACTCGATTAAAAACTAATTAAAAAGTAAAGACTGTAAAATCATCAAAACAACATCAACCAGCTAGGAAGATGGACCCCCCATCACGTGGTCCAGGATGAAGGCAGCGAAGAATCTCACTATGCTCTGCCAGAGTACTCCTAATCTGCCTCTGCTCCTCCAGAATCTTGAGCAAGAGATATCTATCGGTACGGGTATCCATATGGTCTCTCATTAGTGGAACCATTCTCTCCTCAGCATTGGCAGGCTCATCTCCCTCATCGTCATCCCCAGGCTCATTTGCATCAGCCGTCGGGACTACACCTATACCCATAGCACCACGACTCTTCAACACTGTCGTACTATCCACCATCCTAGGACACTTCTCCTTAAGCATATCATCATCTACTATAATGCCTCTATTCATGTAGATACAAGTGACCAACTATACAAATGGAAGGGATGCATTCTTGGTGTTGTCCTTCAGGGCTCTCTGTATCTCAACCATGATGATAAAGGATAGACAGATCTTACGACTATCCCAATAACATATTGTAACTTGGCTCTCTCTGGATATATATGATTCCTTTGGGCCAATGGAAACATACTAGTCACAAAGATCCAATAAGGATCTTATACCTATTTGTTAGTTGTCCCTGGTTCAGCTTCTTGTCCTTTTGTAGTCGGACAAAGCAGGTATCTCCAATGAGTTCCCTGACTACATCCTGCATATTGTACACTATGGTCAAAGTGTACCGTGGCCTCAGTACCACATTCACCTTTAACACTCGAAAAATCATATGGTAGTCCATTGTGAAACTAACCCAGCTGACCGTAGTTCTAAACCTCTTCGAATTTATCTTCATAGCATTCAAATAAAACACACAAATCAATGGAATGCCCCTCGGCCAGACATCTTGAGAAAGTCACCCCATCCCCTTGTAGCCACAATCTGATCAATCCCATATCCCACAAACTCATCCCACACCAAACATCTCTCATCACAATGGGACAGCTAGCAAAGTAGTGAATATATTTCTGCTAAACTGCCCAAGTAGGAAAATAGGATATATCAAAATGGTGTTGAATCCTGTACTCATCTGTTCACACCCTTGGTTCCTGCGCAGCTAGTTGGGCCACTCATGCAGCCAATGCACTGGATTAGGGTCTATCATCGTTCTTTCTCTTTGGTGGTATGGCAGAACTTAGAATTTTTAGGGTTTTGGGTTGAAAAAGAGTCTGGAATTTTTTGGATTAAAGGGTGATTTGGGGGATTATGGTTAGAAATCTAACAAATCTAAGGCTTTGGAGGAGTTTGGAGGGAATTGCAAAGGTTTTGGGTGAAGAAATCCGATTTTGAGAAGCTCTAAAGATTTGGCTATGGAGTTTTCCATGTGTGAGACGGTTTGAGGAAGGCGATTGCCTTTAATAAATAGTTTGCACGCTCAGATGGAGAAGGTGCGTTCGAACGAAA